GCAACGTTGTCGTCGCACAATATCCAGATATGTGCATATATACAGATTTATATATACATATATATATAGATATAGATATATCGTATAAGCACATAGTTCCCAGGCTTAAACGCTTTGGCTTGAAATCGTTGCGGCGTCGTCTTGTCGCGCAAACAAACTCTTGGTTTTGAATTATTTTAAATTGCGCAAATTAAACATGTAAGAGAAGGGCTTGAGTGTTAAATGCACAACTAGAAGATACTCTCAAGTTAGAAAGTTAGAGAATACTAATCGAATCTAACTCTAGAGAGAGAGGGTTAATACACTTAAGTGTATTGTTTGGTCAAGTTTAAGAGTAGCATACATAATGTGATAATATATCTATAAGTAATCCAGCAAGGCACAAGGAGTAGAAAAGCAAGTCAAACTTCATGTCTCTACATATATATAAATAAAACTGACTGAGTGTAGCTCATACTTAGTTATCTAAGCTTCAGAGCAAACAAATTAACAAAATGCATTGCATAAATATCCTTTCAGCAAATATAGTTCAATATCTATACAGTATATTTATCAGTGATGGCTGTTTCACATTCGGAATGAGTAAATGATTGATTCATGCATTGATTACGCGTGTGAAGTAATTCAAGTAGATAACTCGTCTAACTGTAACATAGAATTAATTACAATGCAATTGTCAACTGTATAATAATCGACATAAGCTCCGGCGTACCACAGTTAATTATCTATGCACAGGTCGGCTGCTGCTCACGAGCTGAGGCATTAAAGCGTGTGACCAACGTGTCGGATACGTAATATTTCATTGATATAAACCTGCACAATATGCAAATTGAAGAGCTACCCCAAACACGTGAAGCGGCAACAGCTGGCCATCTCGCTCGCTTGCGCTTTCTTGTTCAGAGTTCAGTTCAGCTCAGTTCAGTGGGGCAGCTGTGCTGCATATGGAGAGGGGCCGCCTGTTTTGCACAGCTGAACTAATTTGAATATTGAATTTGAATATTGAATTTGAATTTGCATTTTCCATTTTGCATTTTGCATTTGGATTTTGATGTAAACGAACTTTTAATAATTCCACGTTAATCTGATCGTGATAGATAATAATTGCGACCAGATGGGCAAATTGCGGCTATGGACTGTTGCCGAGAGGCAGTCGATGGACACACTAATGGCCAGGGATTAGATGTGACCGATATGCTAATTGAAAATCTACACATATTTACATAATAATAAATATTATGCTTATATTATTCTTGACGCCTTGCGCACAAAAAGCCTTTCTATTGAAATTTGTGTGAGCTCTGTCTGTTTGCGTATTTAATTTCAATTCACTTAACTTTATTGCAATTTATTTGACAACAAGTTTTTGACTGTTTCTCGTATTTACTTATTATATGCTATATACAAATTCCAAAACAAAACAACAACAACAACAACAGCCACAAAATAAGTAAGAGCCTTGCAGTCGAGTGCAACCGTCTGCGCAATTCAGTGTAAATACCGAACAAAACAGTCAAAGAGAGTCTTATTGCTTATATCACAGGTGACTCTAAGACTGTTACTACAAGTGACTGTCAAACTTTGACTTTAGAAGCTCGCATTTGAGGCAATTCGTGGGTGCGGGCTTTGCCTGGCCCCAATATGTTTGACTCAAACATTGGAGGAGCTCATCCGTAGGCAAATTTGGTGACTCTAGCTGAGGGAGTTACGGATAAGTGTGAATTTCAACAGTATGTCTGAACCGGATATACACGAGTATATGTTCCAAGCTTCAAGTCTTAAGTTGTGGAAAAAACTGCGTCCATACGAACAGACGAGCAGCCAACAAGGCGGACACTGCGTAAAAGCAATATACTCGTTTTCACTTTACGAACCAGGTATCAATACCTAATATACATATATATATGTGTATATATGTATATATATGCATACATAAAACACTCAAAAGACTCTTGTCGTAACGCATTTGATGACGCAGGTGAATCGCCGTAGATTCTGAGCCATGGAGCTCTTTTATTGTATATTTATTTTTTTTCGACGCTATTTGTTCAAGTTGATTTATTTATGAAGCCAGCCAACGTATTTTAATGAATGAATCGACTGAGTTGAAGCCAAGTAAAAAGCAACAACAACAAAATGGTAACAATAAAAGCCAAGAAAGCAAAATTGGCTGGCTCTAAACAAACAATTGTTTGGCATTAACTACGTCATCGGCCTGAGAAAAAGTGTTAAATGCAACAAGTCGGCCAAAATACACATATAAGCACAAAATGTTGATATAAAACCGAACTGGAACTGTATCAAATGTCATTCAACTTGGCAAAAAACAAAATAAATAAAAAGCCATAAAACAAAATAAAATTGCATGCCCGCCTGTATACACACAGCCGAAATGAATATACAATTATACGTAGCACTTATGTGAAGGGTCATCAATCCATCATGGTTCTTACTCCCATGACTAATATTACGCCTATGGCAGCTGTTGGCCAAGAAATATGTTTGTACGTGTTAATTTCTTTTTATGATCTCACATGCGAATACGATTTGTTTCAGTACAAAATAGAGACTGTTTATTATTGGTTTAAATTTTTTGGAAATTTACGTTGAGGTTTAAAGCTAACTTAGCTTGTCAAAATGCCAAAAATCTTCCATTAATTGATATGAATATATGAAGGTTCCTCGTCGTCTATACATCTATACTTGTGCATGTATATAAATCATATCTTGTCAAATATGTACAGAATTATCTAATCGTACTTTAAGCAACGTGTACATATTGTGCAAAGGAAATGCATCTTTCAGCCAGAAGTTGATTTCTTTGGACTTAATAAAAAGCTCAAGCGCAAGTCGATAATTTAATTTTTTTAACGACTTGATCATAAGTTTTGTCCTTTAGCAGCTCATAACAATCATTTCATGAGTTTAATATTAAGTAATTGGAAATATAAGATAATTTTTTTTTAAATAAAAACCAAGTTTTTATCTTGATTTTTTAGTGGAAAGTTCCTGAAGTCATTCAGTTCATAAAAAAAATATCCCAGCTAAGCTGATTAAATATATGTATACAAAAATGTCTCCTTGAGTATAATTACTTGTGTATCAAAAATCAGGGCATTAAATAGATTATGTATCTACAATCTTTGCCATTTTTATGAGCCGAGCGAACAGAGAACTCGGAGAGAAATATGTCTGTTTATATGGCAAACCTGGTACTGGGTCTGGGTCTGGGTCTGGGCCTGGCTCATTAACAGCACGCAGCAGTTCAACAAAGAAAATATAATAATAATGAGAAATTGCACACAAAGCAAACAGCTGAGGTTATATTTTGTTATTGTTGTTGTTGTTGTTTTTTTGTTTTAGTTGGAATAAAACAGTTCACTTAGCGAGACTGATGACAATTCTGATTCCATGCCCAAATTGTGCCAGAAACTGACCGCAACTAGGACTAGCAAATACCCTGTAAGCGCACGGAAGTTAAGCTCAAACTAAAGCAGAGCCAAGAGTCAAAGAAACATGGCCCAAAATCAGGCTAAGCATTGTTTAAAGACATGACACAATCATAATTGCAGCTGGCCAAGCTGTAGCCAACTGTAACTGTGCAGAGTACTTGGCCAATTAGTGGGGCATTAACAAAGGCAACGGCTTTGGCGACCCCAAGCGATCCAACGATTATGGTTATGCATATAACACCATATTGTGTTTAGGGCAACAAACACAACACACGAATGCAATTTGGCCGTGAAAACGAAATGCCAACAACATAAATTAATTATTATTATTTGTATATATTGAACAATATATATATATACATATATATTTTTTTTTTTGTTTCTTCGGCAAATTAATATTAACTATGCATTAATTAAATGCTTTTGTTGTGTAGTTTTTTTTCCTCTCTGCTTCTTAGTTTTGCCTTTCGTTTCGTTTTGGTTTTGGTTTTGTGTTTCGATTCAGTTGGCTATGCTGTAGGGGCAGGGCCTGGAAACGGTTCCGAAACCGCATCAAACCGTAGCCCGGAGTCGCCTAAAAGCGGTGCGAATGTTAAGGTTGCATATTAACATTTATTAATTAATTTTTTTTTATTTTTATTTTAATTTAGCAACAACGAATTGTTTGTACTGTGTTATGTTTAATGTTTTACCACAAGGCATTTTAATTGATTTTTTATGTTTCTTATTGTATTTAAGTTTTTTGTTGTATTTATAATTTATTGCATGCGAATTGGCTGCGGGCATTCTTTTTTACTTTTAATGCGATTTACATTTATTTATAGAAGTTAAGAATTGTTTCGAAGCTTTATTTGCAATCCCCGTGTATTTTTACAAGTTCAAGTTGCACTTTTAAGGTCAAAAACAATAACCGAAGGTGAGTTTTTTAAATACGAACTGACGATCCCTCCCTCTACAACAAGCACAAGAACTTTATAAACTTTCAGCAAAGCTCAACCAAAAATCAAGCAATCAAGAAAATGAATATTAACAAAATAAGGAACTAAGTCAGATATATGATAGAATAGATCATAATCTTCCAGTATTGATGCCATAAAAATGATATATCATCGCTTAAAAAGCTGCTGTGAATTGTCTTCAAGCTAACGTTTAAGACTTTCCCTCGCATTGTATAGAGAAAAATAAAAGGAATGGCTTAAACGAGCTGCACAACTTAAGTTCATAGTTCAAAGTTCTATAAATAACAATTCTGCCTTAAGTATATTCTAAAATATTCCCATTCTTTTATTGAATAGTTGCTGGCAACACATGTTACTACCAGTTAACAGGGTAATTATATGTTTATTTATATTTAATATTGTTGCCAATTATGCGTTAAATGTGCTGCATGTTTTCCATTGATTTCCATTGATTTCCGCCTGCCTTTCTACTGCCAGCCTAATACGTACTGCAAGTATCTGTATGTACTTTAAGTAACTGGCAATAGGTCGTTTTTTTTTTTTATTTTTAAATGTTCTTTTTTTTTTGTTTTTGTAAATACTAAAGGCTTACTTTTGCAGTAACAACTTCACAATGTGGCACTTTGTTTACGTTTTATTTTCGGGAGACACGCGAAACTTAACGATCTTGACTTAAATGTCATAAATTAGTTTGTTATATATTTATTTTTTTTCTTCTAATTTATGACAAGTCGTTATAGTGACCTTTTCAGTGTTTTCTAATTTTTTTCTTTTCTTTTTTATTTTAATTTATTTTTGTATCTTTTTTTTATTTTGGCACAAACAAAAACAACAAAAAACACAATGCAACTCGTGACAAATGGGTATGCCGTGCAGCTTCCGTAGGTGGGTTCTGTAAAATTTTTTTACCGCTTTTTTCTTTTTTTTTGTTTTGTTTTATTGTGCTCTCTCTCTTCGGTTTTCGTTTTTTTTTGTTTTTTTTTGGCGACGCCGTCTGCACCGTACGCCGGGATATTGTACACTGAATGTCCAAAGACGGCAAACACTTGTTATTATAACGCGTCAAAAAGCGTCGCTGCGACGTCGACGGCGGCAGCGACGGTGGCAGCGAGGGCGACGCTGAGCGCACGCTGAACAGCACCACGATCTGGCCGAATCAATAAGCCAAGCGAGCGACTAAACGTTCGACAGCCGAGCGTCGCAGCTGGCTAAACTTCGAGCCTCCCGGCCAGCGGTACTTCGCCGCGGCGGCGACGGCGGCGGCGACGGCGACGGCATTGCCCGTTGATAAGCCAAGCCAAGACCCGCTCTCAGACGTCGGCAGCACCGCTGCTGCTGTTGCGCGCAGCAGTTGTTATCAATTGAAATCAAGTTTAGTTGTTGATAGTGAAAAGCCAAAGCAAAAAGTAACCAAGAGCGCAACAAGTGAAAAATGAAAAGAAAAGCGGAAAAAAAGCGATACGACAAGATCAATGAATGAAAATGCTGCCGGCGTCGGCAGCGACTGCGGCGGAGACGCAACGTTTTCGTGCACACCGTTAGAACGAACGACTTTCGTTGGCTGCTCGGCTCGACTTTGAAAATCATCGTCAGTTTTTCGACTGTTGGTTGGCCCATTACTCATTATTAATTGTCAGCTCGAGTGGGCCGGCGCATGGGGCGTATGAGTGATGCCAAAGAGTTACGACCCCCTCCACTCCAGCCTTATAGCTGCTAATACATTTTTATATACTATATACATATATATATTTATTTAGGTATATGAATTTTCTCCGCATTCTGATTTACGAGGTTTTTTTTTTGCAAATAGGGTTTTTGTTTCGTTGCATTTTATGTAAATTTGTTTTGGTCAGGACCGCATAACACCACCCGCTGCTGAGAGGACGTTACGTGACGTCCAACTGACAGTCCGATTCGGCACGATTCATGCATTAGAAATACAATTAACAGTGTAATTTTTTTTTCTTCTTCTTCCTACATTTATTTTTGTAAATACCCCGTTTATGGGCCAAAAAAAAGGAAAAAGAATTGGTTGGGCTGTGTCAAACGACTGAATATATATATAAGTATATAGTTAAATACACAGATCGCAGATTTGTCTCCAAGCCTAGCCAGGCCATTTGAAAGTTTCGATGCTTATGGAAGAAACATGAAAAGCATTTTAGCTTTTGAGTCAGGTAATTACCTAAGCCGGGCCTCCCAAAATGATGCATTACTGCGACACACTCTATGCGTCCAGCAAATGGGCTTAGCGTAAGAGCATATATACATTAATATATATATATATACATATATATATATATATTCATATACGCGTACGCTCAACGAGCATATAATGAGTACAGCCAATATGTTTGTTGCCAACAAAAAATACAACAACAAACTGGTTTATCCGCATCCGGATAATTGATACAAGCCGAATCGCCCATTTCTCTAGCCATCTCGCTTGCACACTTCAGGCCCCGAGGCATTATTATTATTATAAACTTTTAATTATTTAAAAATGTTTGTTTATCATCTTAAGAATGGAATGGTTCAGGATGTAGACTGAAGAGTTTGTTGTTTCATTTGCAAATTGAATTCGTGGCATTCGAAAGAGGCTCTCGACGCAAATGTCGAGTGGCCGCAAGTAGACCCATAAATAAATATTTATAAATAAATGTTACAATAATCAAGCAATCAACAAGATCAACAGACAAACAAATAAACAAACAATTGTGTCTTATTATGGCAAACCTAAAATTAGCAATCAATAATATGGCAAAATTAATCAATCAACCAATTTATAATCTATTTAAAAACATCATTTAAAATTTTTGATTATAGCATACTAATTTGTTAAATATGTATATTAATTATGTGAAGGCATCTCAGTTCCAGTGCCCCACTTAAATTTTCAAAATTTATAATGATAAATTGCTCAAGATTTTAATTAGCAGCCAAAACCTTAATTTCAGTTTTAATTCATTGACTATAAAAGACAGTTATTGTTCAGATTTATATTCCAAACGATCTTGTGCAGAAAATAAACACATTTTGTACATATCACACATCCTGTCATACACAGCATATCTAGCAAACCATTTAAAAAATCGGAGCCAGTAAAGGTGCTTTTTAAAATTAAACAATATGTTAACCACAAAAGAAACCACGTTAATCAGTAGGCAAAACATGTACAACCCGGTTCCGGGTACGAATCTCAGGTTAAAGTATGAATACTCTGATGTACAAGAGGTACAGAAGGTTATGGTAACTAGTGCTATTCATGACAAAGTCTTCATACTCTGTTCACAAAGTTAGAACGAGTATATTGGTCGTACATCCCTAACTCTTCGGAAAGGACTTATCATGATGTCCTCCTAAGATGAAACGAACATGGATCCGGGATAACACCCGATCCCACAAATTGTAAAAATAGGTATTTTCATTTATAACAATTTAAAAGTAACTGCCTAATGGTTACACTTTTAGATTCACTAAGCCAATAAATCAGTTAAACTATTCGACTTAATAATAATAATATAAAACATAAATCGTAATGATAATTACAATCATAATAATAGGATATTAACTATTAATAATAAAAATAGTTATAATATAAACTAATAACAAAAGTAATATAAAAGGGAAAAATATAAAAGATATAAAATATATAAACTAATTATAATTGTAATAAGACATGGAAATATTAATAAGCTAAGTAATATTATCTAATAAAAATAGTAATATAAAGAGGGAATAATTTAAAACAATGATAATTTTCTAAACTTATATACTTTATAGTAATATAAAAAATTATAAATAATATAAAATAATAATAATTACATTAAATTATAGTAATAATAACAACTAATAATAATAAGAAAGGAATAATACACAAAAAACAATAAGACAAATCGAAACGTTTCTTGTTTGGGAAAAACATTGACAATATCTACAGAAATATATTCGAAGAGAAAAAAAGTACAACGGGGACGTACAACTGAAGATGCATAAACAGATATGCTGCGCATGACTCAGGTACTCCTAGGTAGGATAGACGAACGCGTTCGATTGCAAAAATAACCCGACTGGGGGACTTTTCGTTTCACAGATAATGGATGCGATACCTGGCACTTAATAGCCAGGGACCTGGGGCTCAGCGATTGCGGAAACAGTTGGGAAATGCACAAAACCAACTTGCGTGTACCTATATTAACGCTTATCAGACAACGCGACACTGCTCGCAGCTCACCTGTGCGGCTGGCGGGTGGGCCAGGGGTGTCCCATGAGAGACAGAAACCTCTGGGGCGGGGACTTACACGCGGGGTACATTTCGTTTCATATACCCTAATAGAGGGTATTTTCATTTTGTGACAAAGGCTGCAACGTATTTATATAAAAGAGGTAAAACGTACATATTCGACCCTATATAAAGTCTGATCAGTCAGAATATACAAATGCTGGAGTCGTAGCAGTATTCTATATAGTTTATTTATAAGCTTGTAGAGGGTATTATAATGTTATAGTAATGCATAGAAGAAATATGTACAAATATATATATATATCAGTATCTGTGGAAACTAAGTCTGTCTGTCTGTCACTATGCGAAGGATTCTAGCAATATCAACTTTTTTGATACAGCCAGCAAATATATCGAAGTTGGCTAAATCGGACTACTATAACATATAGCTGCTAGGTACTATCGGTCAAAAACTAAGTTCTTCTCTTGCATTTGCCAAGCAGTCGAAAAATGGAAAACATATAAAATATACATTTACCAAACTATATATGCAAAACAGTTTCAAATCGAACGAATGTATTATATAGCTTTCATAGGAAATAGGGTATTTAATCTTCTTTCGGACTTTATTTTTGTTGTATTGCGGTACGTGTTGCTGTGGAAGGCGGCAGCGATGGCAATTTTTAAATGTGTTACTTGAACGAATTGTATGGCAGTTACTCGTATTTGTTTATCGACAGACAATTGACAAACAGACAGGGGTGGGCGGATAAGTGTGGGTGTGCGGGGGGAGGGCTGCGTTCAATCAAATTGTTGGATAATGGTCAATCAACTGCCGGCGACGATGCTTTTGATCAGGCGTCGATCCAGTGTCTATCAACGATCAATTTCAATGTTATTTATTGTCTCTATTTGCGGCTCGACATGCAAATGCCTGCATTGGGGGGGGCTATGGGATTGGGGGTTATTACTGCCCCAAGCACGACCATAGCGAGTAGACCTTAAACTTGAACCTGCAACTGCTGCTTAATTTATAAGCAAATAGTTCCGCTCAGATCTGCTCCCTATGTGTATGTCTGTGTGGAAGAACACGCTATCGAAAATTAGCAGCTGCAATTGCTACATGCATTATAAAAAAACTTCCCAGCCCCGCAGCCGCCGCCCCACACCTCCGCACGTCCTAGGCAATTAGACACATGTAATGCGCTTAATTGGGTTTGTTTGCTTGTTTTTTTTTTTTGGTTTTTTCTCCATATTTTTTAAAGTGAAGGTCGCGTTTCAAACCTTTGCCAACCAGGCGCATCGACCAGGCCGAGGAACCCAAAAATAAGAAATAAAGTAAAAACTGGGCCTTTCCACTCGAAACTCAAGTGGCAATCAGCGTCGCGCCTGTCACTTTCTATTGGCAATCTAATCGCTTATACTAACTCTTGTTGATTGCAAGTTTTTTCCGTTGTTATATTTTAAAACGTTTGCGTCGTGCTGCCAAATATTTGTATCTATATCGCTAACAACATATATACTTATATCTG